GTACCAAGTGAGAAACACATACACCCAGTAGTTGTACAGTGTATGTAAACACATACACGTTATATTTATTTGTTTTTTCTTTGTTTCTTAATTTATTCTCTTTAAACCACGTTATATTAAAAATTCAAGACTTAAAAATACTCTTTTGCTTTAATCATCCAAAATATAGTAGGACTAGTCTTGCTTCTTAAAAACATTCTCTTTGTTTTTTTATTGAGGTACAGTCAGTATACAATATTACATAAGTTTCAGGTGTACAACATATTGATTAAAATTTTTTACAGGTTACATTTCAGTTACAGTTATTGTTGCTGCTGCTGCTGCTGCTAAGTCACTTCAGTCTTGTCCGACTCTGTGCGACCCCATAGACGGCAGCCCAACAGGCTCCCCTGTCCCTGGGATTCTCCAGGCAAGAACACTGGAGTGGGTTGCCATTTCCTTCTCCAATGCATGAAAGTGAAAAGTGAACGTGAAGTCGCTCAGTCATGTCGGACTCTTGACGACCCCATGGACTGTAGCCTACCATGCTCCTCCGTCCATGGGATTCTCCATGCAAGAGTACTGGAGTGGGTTGCCATTGCCTTATCCGTAGTTATTAACCAACAATATCTATGTTTCTCTGTGCTGTATAATACGTGTCTTTTACTATTTATTGTATACATAGTAGTTGCACATCTTGTGCCCCACCCCTCTCCCCACTGATAACTAGTATGAATAGCTTGTTTTCATCAGTCTCCTTTCTTTTATATTCGCTAGTTTACATTATTTTCTAAATTCCACATGTGACATCATTACAGTATATGTCTTTGAGTTATTTCACTTGTCTTGCTTTTTAAAGCAAAAGCAGTTTTCAAAATGTGGCATTCCTGGGCTTTCTTCGTGGTTCAATGGTAAAGAATCCGCCTACCAGTGCAGGAGATAGGGGTTTGATCCTTGGTCTGGAACGGATCCAACAAGCCACGGAGTAACTGGGCCCTGTGTCACAACTTCTGAAGCCTGTCCTCCCCAACAAAAGAAGCCGCCGCAATGATAAGGCTGCACACTGCACCTGGAGAGTAGTCCCGGCTTTCTCCAACTCGAGAAAAGCCCATGCAGCCAAGAAATACTCAAAACAGCCAAAAAATGATTAAAAATGTGACATCCCTAACAAAGCTAAATAAGTCCCTTTTCCCTTGCAGTACGTGTGGGACTAACTTATCACAGGCTTTGCTCCACGACACCTTTTGTAGGGATCCGGGTGCCCCCTGCGCCTCCCTCCCCTCCTCCCGCAGCCGGCTGCACCTGCAGCGCCCAACCTCCAGAGCCCGGCCCCGCCTTGGCCCCGCCTCCGAGGTCATTCCCGGCCGCCCCCGCTCAGCGCCCGCGTCCGCGCGCTGACGTCACATGCCCGCGCCGGGGCGCCCCGCCCGCTGCTCTGCCTCCTGTGAGGTATTGGGGCGTCCTGTGAGGAGTCCTGAGGCGGGACCTCTAGGCGCTTCTCCGCGTCGCCCGAGTATCAGGTGTCCGCGTGGCGAGGCGGGGGGACGAACCGTTAAGGAGCCCCCAGACCCAGTGAGCCCACCCCGCCAGGCCGCCGGCAGCCGCGGCTGAGAAGTTGGGGGCGGCGCCCGGGGCACTCCCCCTGCTGCCGTTGCCAGGGGCTCGGAAACCGGTTGGTTCGGTCCGGAGACGCGGAGTCGTGTCCCGGGGCGTTGGCCCGGGCGGCGCCGGCTGCGGCCAGATGCGCTTTCCGGACCGCGGAAGGTCGGGTCTGCCTCGGTGAGCCCCGCGGGGAGGCGGCGGCCCGGGAAGGTGCCCACGGCCTGAGTCCTGAGGTGAGCGGCGCTCGGGGAGGCGTAACGTGCAGAACTGAGAGGTCGTTCTCTTGCGGGAGACCTCGCCCTCACTTCATTGTGGGGAGGCTGCGGACTCCTGCCCTGAGGTGCACGGAAATAGGCGCATCTCACTTAGATGATAATTCTCTAAGGAGTAGCGTTACTAAGCAATCCTTGGACGTTATTAATAGGCGATATAAAAAAGAAAAGCGATAGTGAGCATGGAATTACAGTAGTATTAGAAGTGTTGTTATGCATAAGAAGTCATTTACGTTGCTTATCTCTTGTCTCCAGTCTTAAATTGCATACGGGTTTTAATTAGAAAACGAGTAGCAATTAACCGGTTAGCTAATAATCTTACATTCCACTTCCCGTAATTTCAAACAGTCTACATGTACGGCATTGAAAGTTCTAATACCTTTAGAGTTCATAAGGCTTAAAAAAAAAAAAAAATATATATATATATATATATATATAGGCTTTTTATTCTCTACTGTAAGATCCGCCCCAAAACGTAGTTTTTTTTTTTTATTGCCATGGTAAATTACATCGGAGATAACTTGAAGGATTAAAAATAATTAGCAATCTCTGCTAGCAATGGCCTTTTCTTATGATGCAGCAGTATTGTAGAGACCATGGAGGGAAGCCATATGTGGAGAGAGTAGTTCTTTGTGTTTTAGATTTGTCTGAAATTAGAGGATCCACAGATCTGTTTCAAGATTGCTCACTTTTTTTTTCCCCTTTGGTGAGAGATAAGGAGCCTCTTTTGTGGAAAAATAGGTTTTTGTACAATAAGAGTCACCAATTGGGTGTTTCATAAAGGTTATGGAACTTGGCCAGGGGAGTTCTTTTGAGGTTATTTTCATAATGCATTGATCCTGTGTTCTAAGTAAATCTTAACTGTAATCCCGTGTATGTGGCATCATCTCATGAATATAAACCATTTACATGTTTGTATTTTCCCCTAGGGAAACTGTTTATTGTCTGAATAGTCTTACAGAGAGGACTGGACTTAAAAAGAGAAGCAGATTATTTTGAACCAACTCTAGTAGGAATCCCATTTTTGTCTTCTGCTTTTTCGAATTATGAGAAATGAGACAGGGCCTTTCCTCATTGAGGAGTTAAACTGACCTTCTCCTTCAGCCTAAAATGGGATTTATTATTGTGGGAGAACTATATGTGTGGATCATAGTTGCAGTTAGTACCATAAGTTCTTGAAAGCTGTTGACATTTCTTCACCAGTGTTTCCCTTTAGGGCAACTTGCTTGGCCATCAAATAGCTGAAGCAGCTGAAAAGGCTTGATTGAAGTTCCAGATTATTGAGGATACAGTTTTTCATCATATACTCTTTGACATTTTTCACATTTGGTGCACATTTTATTGTATCAAACATTCATGACTTAAAGATGTTCTTGTAACATGTAAGGAAAGATGTCTAACTTGACTAACAGACTGCTTTTTCTGGAACATAGTTGACATACTTAAAAAGAGTGATGTCATATAGAAAAATTTGAGGGACATTTAACTTTTATCATCTGAAGTTTGTGTTGGTATAAAGTGAAGAAAATGGATTTAATTTTTCTTTTTTTTTTTTGCCACATGGTTCCCTAGTTTTTAAAATGCTGTTTGTTTCAAAATCCATCTTTTGCCTTCAGAGTTAAAATGTTACCATGGTCATCCACCAAATTAAAAAAAATTTTTTAATGTATTTCTAGACTCCCTGTGATTTGCCTCTTTCATAATTAGCTTTATAATGTCTCTTGATATCAAGTAAACAAGTCTTCCTTCATTGTTCTTTTTTTTTTTCCCAGTATTTCTATGGCTGTGGTGGTGGTGGTTTAGTTGCTAAGTCGTGTCCAACTCTTGGAATCCCATGGACTGTAGCCTGCCAGGCTCCTCTGTCCATGGGATTCTCCATACTGGAGTCCGTAGCCATTTCCTTCTCCAGAGGAACTTCCCAACCCAGGAATCAAACCCATGTCTCCTGCATTGCAGTCAGATGCTTGACTGACTCAGCTTTGAGAGGAGCCCCTAAGTTTTCTATGGCTATTCTTGCTCTTTTTTTCATGTTAACTTTAAAAAATCAGCTTGTCCGACCACTCTCACACCCAGAGCTTGTGTTTATATTAGGGAAGCATTAAATTTAAAGATTAAGAATTAAAATCTTTCTGATATTGAATCTTCTTTCCCTTCCTTGTCATTTTGTTTCTTCTTTGTTTTTTGTGTCTATTCTTCTGAATATTTTTTGCTGGTTTGTTTTCCAGATTACTTAATCCTGCTGGCTGTAATGGCTGTAACACCCACACAATGAGTTCTTAATTCCTGATATTTTATATTTTACTTTTAGGAGTTCATTTAGTAAAGATAAATTTCAGTTCTTTGTGGAAATTCTCCTCCTTTTTAAAAAAAATCACTTTTGTCTATTGTTCCCTCTTATTTTCTTGAACATATTAATCAAGGTTATTTGAAGTCTCCTCCTGATAAATCCATTTTTGAGTCATTTGTGAGGACTAATCTCTTCAGTCTTGCCTTGTGTTGCATAGCTTAGGAGTGAGCTATCTGACAGGAGAGCCATTTACATGCACATTTTTGGACTTGTTCTGTTCTTTTTCCTCCTCCTCAGGATTTTTGCAGCCCTAAACTTTGACCGCTTTCTCCTTAGCGCCTAAGACTGCTGTTTTATACTCAGGCTTTGTCCTGTGTGCAGAAATTTAATCTGAAGTTCTTTTATAATAGCAAACACTGGAAACAACTTAAATGTCTAATGAGAGGAGATCAGATAAATAAGTTTGGGAAGTAGTCTTATTAAGCTTGTATTCTTATTGCAGGTAGTAAAGTAATCCTGACAGTAGTTACTGTAGGAAAAAGTTAGCTTTTTTCTCCACATGTAATAAGTGTATATAGTATTTGACTTTTTAAAGTATTCTTACAGAATTTAAATGTTACTAGTTTTCTCCTTTTAGCTATTCCTACATTGCATGAGTAAAAGTGAGGTAAGGTTTATTTAACTTTCAGTAGATTTTATATATATATATATATTTTTTTTTTAAGTAAAATAGTCACTGGGGAATTAGAATTTGAATTAAACATTATAATTGTTACAGATGCCATGGTTTATCTCTATTAACTGATACTTTTTTATTTTGTATGTCTAGCATATCTGTTAAGATGCCTTAGAAAAGAATGATGGAGAAATACATTAGAGTACAGAAGATTGGAGAAGGTTCATTCGGAAAAGCCATTCTTGTCAGATCTACAGAAGATGGCAGACAATATGTTATCAAAGAAATTAATATTTCAAGGGTAAATGTATTTTTTGTTTGGTTATCCAAGTAGAAGTCTGGTTACAAACAGATTCACTGTTAGAGACAGAAAAAAAGTATGGCAACATATGACATAAAAAGAGACTGTTGTAATTGCAGAGAAAACCACTCATCTCGGAAAAGTCTGTGAATCCTTTTAGACTTTTTTCTGTGATGTGTGCTGGTGTTTATGTGTTTAAAAAAGATACATCCCCTACTGCTCCTTTGACTTAATCTGATTTGAACATCTTAAAATGTTTTTTGTGTGTGTGCATTCAACTCATTCTTTTTAACTTCTGGCTTTATTTTATTACTTGGGCTGTGCTTTATGGTAACATTATTTTTAACCACTCTCTTTTTTTTTTTTCTTTTCATTTATTTTTATTAGTTGGAGGCTAATTACTTTACAATATTGTAGTGGTTTTTGTCATACATTGACATGAATTAGCCATGGATTTACATGTATTCCCCATCCCGACAAGTCTGTTTCTTTTTTTGTCTTAAGCTGGTGATATCTTTAAACATTCTATCATGGAAAATTAAACAAAAGTAGAAATAAGAGTATAAGATGCTTCAATGTATCTTTTACTTAATTTAATATTTATTCATCTATATCGCTACCTACTGTCCCGCTCTGATTATTTTGAAGCAGATTTTGACCATAATTCCTATTGTATTGTAGTATGTATCTTTATTTTTTTTTTCCATTTATTTTTATTAGTTGGAGGCTAATTACTTTACATCATTGCAGTGGTTTTTGTCATACATTGAAATGAATTAGCCATGGATTTACATGTATTCTCCATCCCGGTCCCCCCTCCCACCTCCCTCTCCACCCGATCCCTCTGGGTCTTCCCAGTGCACCAGGCCCGAGCACTTGTCTCATGCACCCAACCTGGGCTGGTGATCTGTTTCACCCTAGATTATATACATGTTTTGATGCTGTTCTCTTGAAACATCCCACCCTCGCCTTCTCCCACAGAGTCCACAAGTCTGTTCTATACATCTGAGTCTCTTTTTCTGTTTTGCATATAGGGTTATCGTTACCATCTTTCTAAATTCCATATATATGTGTTAGTATACTGTAATGGTCTTTATCTTTCTGGCTTACTTTGCTCTGTATAATGGGCTCCAGTTTCATCCATCTCATTAGAACTGATTCAAATGAATTCTTTTTAATGGCTGAGTAATATTCCATGGTGTATATGTCCCACAGCTTCCTCATCCATTCGTCTGCTGATGGGCATCTAGGTTGCTTCCATGTCCTGGCTATTATAAACAGTGCTGCAATGAACATTGGGGTGCACATGTCTCTTTCAGATCTGGTTTCCTCAGTGTGTATGCCCAGAAGTGGGATTGCTGGGTCATATGGCAGTTCTATTTCCAGCTTTTTAAGAAATCTCCACACTGTTTTCCATAGTGGCTGTACTAATTTGCATTCCCACCAACAGTGTAAGAGGGTTCCCTTTTCTCCACACCCTCTCCAGCATTTATTGCTTGTAGACTTTTGGATAGCAGCCATCCTGACTGGCATGTAATGGTACCTCATTGTGGTTTTGATTTGCATGTCTCTGATAATGAGTGATGTTGAGCATCTTTTCATGTAACCACTCTCTTTTGGTTGGACTTTTATATCATTTATTTACTTAATTTACTATTTTTTCCCCTTCTATTTCAGATGTCCAATAAAGAGAGGGAAGAATCAAGGAGAGAAGTTGCAGTGCTAGCAAACATGCGGCATCCAAATATTGTCCAGTATAGAGAATCATTTGAAGGTTAGATACAGACTCCTAAGCCTGTGACAACTGCTGCGTACTTTCCTCTTAAGGATCTTTTTGTGAATTAGTCTCAGAAAGAAAAATATATTATTTCTGCTTGAATACACATGCATATGAGTGTCAGCCTTCTTCTCCGATATTACTAATGCCACCCTGTCCCTGTGTAGCTTAGTACTGAGTCACTGTCACTGAGGTTACTTGTAAAAAGGCAGTGTGGTAAGTGCAGAAATTTAGACAGAGCAGGAACAGTCATCTTCACCTTGTAAAACTAAACTCCCTTTAAGTGCTGCCACCACTGCCACTCTGAAAATGTTGTTATTTTAGAAAGTACCCCACTTGTTAGTGTTGTCCTGTATATGTCATAATATTGAGATACTGTATTAAATATACCTTGTATATAATATATATGTGTATTATACATAAAGTGTTCTCAAGTTCTTAAAATATTGTAAAATATTGCTATTTTGGAAATATCTACCATTATATTTGGTAATGCAGGAACTAAGGTAAAACAAAGCTTCTCTAAAGGCAGGTCAAGGTGGTTTATTCATTCCCATTGTCAGAAATTTCTGTCAGTTGCAAAATAAAAAAAATAGTTTAGATTGAAAGTAGAAGATAGTTTAAGTGACCATTTCAGGCTCTTATTACGTACAAGTTTCAGCATCTGAATTAGAGTATCCTTGTTCCCAAATAAAGTTATCTACTAAAGTAGAATATACTTTAAAAAATATATGAATCAGTTAACACCTTATGTCATAAAGTGCTCAGTTTATTTATTTTATGATGACAATGAAGTGAGGCTTTAAAGCTCATGGTAAAGAGTACAAGGTTAACCATCTCTTTCTTCCCAGGACCTTGAATTTCCTTTATCTTTCCCCTAGTCTTTTAGTTTCTTTTTGCTTTCATCACCAGGATCTTAGTATTTCAAGGGGAAAGGTTTAAATGTATGTCAACAAATATTCTATCAGACGTTTTACTTAGAAACATCTGAACGATTCAGAAGGGATGGCACAGTCTTTAAATAAGATGGCACAGTCTTTAAATAAGGTTATATTACTACTGCCATTTAGCTTTAAAGGAGTAAATGCTCATGGGAAGTGTATTCAGGAGTACACACATGCATGGACCCCAAGCTCCCTGTTCCTTCCACTTTGCTCATTCTCATTCCTTAAGAATAAGCTTTGCAAATAATCCCATGTTGATTCCTTACTGTGTTTTCTGTGCCTTTGTGGAACAAACAAGTGTGTAGCTTTTGATGTTTAAAAATAGGTGGGATTAAAAAAAAAACAACAGATGGGATCATATGTATGTTATTTCTGCTTCTGGTTCTTTTCACTTAATATCTCACGCATGTCTTTCCATGTCACTGTGTATTGTTGAGCCCATTCTTTACAACTTTCTTGTAACATTGCAGCGTTTCTCACTGTATGCACTTTATGGCTCTACCACAAGGTGTGAGAGTTCCTGTGTCTCACAGAATCTCCAATCTTGGCTTATATGTTCATTATCAAATTTATCAGATGTAATTTTATCTGGTGAGTCTATTTGTTTGGTCACAGTTCCTTTTTTCTACCTCATTTGAACCATCTTCTCATTTTATCATGGACCTCTAGTTTCTTATAGACCTTGTGGGAGCTCTGAAACACAAATTTTTCATTTTTCTCTAAAATGGTAAAAAAAAAAAAAGTCAACATTTTAAATCTCTCAATTTTATTTTATTTATTTATTTTTTTCTGTTTTCTCCTTTTTATTTATTTATTTTTTTCCCATTTATTTTTATTAGTTGGAGGCTAATTACTTTACATCATTGCAGTGGTTTTTGTCATACATTGAAATGAATTAGCCATGGATTTACATGTATTCCCCATCCCGGTCCCCCCTCCCACCTCCCTCTCCACCCGATCCCTCTGGGTCTTCCCAGTGCACCAGGCCCGAGCACTTGTCTCATGCACCCAACCTGGGCTGGTGATCTGTTTCACCCTAGATAATATACATGTTTCGATGCTGTTCTCTTGAAACATCCCACCCTTGCCTTCTCCCAGAGTCCACAAGTCTGTTCTATACATCTGAGTCTCTTTTTCTGTTTTGCATATAGGGTTATCGTTACCATCTTTCTAAATTCCATATATATGTGTTAGTATACTGTAATGGTCTTTATCTTTCTGGCTTACTTCACTCTGTATAATGGGCTCCAGTTTCATCCATCTCATTAGAACTGATTCAAATGAATTCTTTTTAATGGCTGAGTAATATTCCATGGTGTATATGTCCCACAGCTTCCTCATCCATTCGTCTGCTGATGGGCATCTAGGTTGCTTCCATGTCCTGCCTATTATAAACAGTGCTGCGATGAACATTGGGGTGCATGTGTCTCTTTCAGATCTGGTTTCCTTGGTGTGTATGCCCAGAAGTGGGATTGCTGGGTCATATGACAGTTCTATTTCCAGCTTTTTAAAAAATCTCCACACTGTTTTCCATAGTGGCTGTACTAATTTGCATTCCCACCAACAGTGTAAGAGGGTTCCCTTTTCTCCACACCCTCTCCAGCATTTATTGCTTGTAGACTTTTGGATAGCAGCCATCCTGACTGACGTATAATGGTACCTCATTGTGGTTTTGTAAATCTCTCAATTTTAAAAAATGAGCAAGTTGTTTAAAAAAGTGGAATTCTGATGTTGTTTTGAACGTCTGTCATGAAAGGTGAGGAAATTACTGTCTTTGGAGTTCTTCTCCACTGATTTTTGTTCATCTTGACAGAATAAAAATGATCAGTTCAGTCGCTCAGTTGTGGTCCGACTCTTTACGACTGCAGCACGCCAGGCCTCCCTGTCCATCACCAACTCCTCGAGTTTACTCAAACTCATGTCCATTGAGTCGGTGATGCCATCCAACCATCTCATCCTCTGTCATCCCCTTCTCCTCCTGCCCTCAATCTTTCCCAGCATCAGGATCTTTTCCAATGAGTCAGCTCTTCACATCAAGTGGCCAAAGTATTGGAGTTTCAGCTTCAACATCAGTCCTTCCAATGAACACCCAGGACTGATCTCCTTTAGGGTGGACTGGTCGGATCTCCTTGCAGTCCAAGGGACTCTCAAGAGTCTTCTCCAGCACCACAGTTCAAAAGCATCAATTCTTCGGCGCTCAGCTTTCTTTATAGTCTAACTCTTACGTCCATATATGACTACTAGAAAAACCATAGCTTTGACTAGTCGGGCCTGTGTTGGCAAAGTAATGTCTCTGCTTTTTAATATGCTGTCTAGGTTGGTCATAACTTCCCTTCCAAGAAGCAAGGGTCTTTTAATTTCATGGCTGCAGTCACCATCTGCAGTGATTTTGGAGCCCAAGAAAATAAAGTCTGACACTGTTTCCCCATTTATTTGCCATGAAGTGATGGGACCAGATGCCATGATCTTAGTTTTCTGAATGTTGAGTTTTAAGCCACCTTTTTCACTCTCCTCTTTCACTTTTATCAAGAGGCTCTTCAGTTCTTCGCTTTCTGCCATAAGGGTGGTGTCATCTGCATATCTGAGGTTATTGATATTTCTCCTGGCAGTCTTGATTCCAGCTTGTGCTTCATGTAGCCCAACATTTCTCATGATGTACTCTGCATATAAGTTAAATAAGCAGGGTGACAATATACAGCCTTGATGTATTCCTTTCCTGATTTGGAACCAGTTTGTTGTTCCATGTCCAGTTCTAACTGTTGCTTCTTGACCTGCATACAGATTTCTCAGGAGGCAGGTCAGGTGGTCTGGTATTTCCGTCTCTTTCAGAATTTCCCACAGTTTGTGGTGATCCACACAGTCAAGGGCTTTGGCATAGTCAATGAAGCAGAAGTAGATATTTTTCTGGAACTCTGTTGCTTTTTCGATGATCCAGAGGATGTTGGCAGTTAGATCTCTGGTTCCTCTGCCTTTTCTAAAACCAGCTTGAACATCTAGAAGTTCACGGTTGACATATTGTTGAAGCCTGGCTTGGAGAATTTTGAGCATTACTTTGCTAGCGTGTGAGATGAGTACAATTGTGTGGTAGTTGGAGCATTTTGAAATAAAATCATCATAATCTCTAACAATCTTTTGTTCTGAAATTTTAATTCTTAGAGTGTTTTGGCCTTGATTCAATGCTTAGAGTCAATTCTTAACTGTTAATTCTTTTATACCTTAGTTACCCGTTTTCAGAGATATTTGAATTTATCTCCTATTTGTCTGGATTGCATCAGTTTTTTTTCATGATGAGCTTATGAATGATGTATTCCCTCAATGCAGTTACTATTTGCATTTCTTAGAGTGTCTAACTGATGTTTTTATACTGATAGGTGTCTTTGATGATACTTTTCTGTTTACATGCACATTATGTCTTCTGGTATTGAATTTTTCTGTAGAAAAGTTTGACATCAGCATAAAGCTTCTCTTCTTGAAGATAATTTATCTTTTCTTGATTCTCAAAGAATTCTTTCTTCAGAATTAAATTCAGCAGAATATGACTTAGTATTAATACTTCTGCTTCATTTTCTCTTGGAACATTTTGAACTCTTTCTGCCTCCAGATTCTGGTTTTCCTTTGTTTCAGGGAAGTTTTCATTTCACTATTTAAAAAAAAAAATACATTTATACCTTAAAATGAGGAAAGATATTCCAAAATTTGTCAGAAGGTTGTCTTAGCTTACAAATGAATTCTTTCTTGTAAAGTCTCTTGTGTTACAGGACGTGCTCTCAAATTTTTTAAAGAATGTTACATAGCAAAACGTTTTTGGGGAAGAAGACTAAACTGAGTTAATTTTGAGTGCTTATAGAGGACCTCAGGCAGAATCAGTTTTTAAAAGAGACATCAAAGAAATTTAATATTGATGTCATAATTGCAGATATCAGATACTGTCTTCTAAAATCACTTAAATGGCAGTATGATTATGTTGTAACAATAATGTATATAAACTCTTTAGGATGAATTTTTGAAGTCCCAGTATTTTGCACATGGGGATTAGGACACTGGAAAAATTCCACTGACAACATAAACAGATTTTAAAAGTGCTCTCTTTCAATCAAAAGTTAATGAAGATCGTGTATATTGGGGGAACATAGGTGAATCAATAAAGACATTGATACTGATGAGAAATGTGAAAATTTTGGATAGAATTTTTTGTAAGATTGGAGAGTTGGCCGAAAAAAGTATTTCCAGGTATATAAATTTATAATTAAATTTTAACATTAAATATGATAAATAGATACTTTTTGTCTATATTCCTACATTTATAAATTTAAAAAATTGTTGCTATCATTGAGAAAGTCTTGTGTCACTGTATATTTGGGTATCTTATACATGTTTGTTTACTCTGTGATTCATATATTGCTATCTATTTTTAGTTGTCTGCAGTTATCATCTTCTAATTGGTTTCATATTTTTGTCTTTGTTTTCCTACAGTCTTTGCTTTTTATCCTATATTTTTAATGAAAAAGGCTCATATATGGAGCTGTGTGTTGGCATTCAGCCTGTTCCCCATTGGTGCTGCCAAAATCTAACTTCTCTATTTTCTTAAAGAACTCTTTTCTTTGAGGCTAAATTTGGATTGCTTTTTGCTGCGGGTAATATTAGTAGAAAGTCTGGCCAGTATTGGGTTAAGTGAGAAAGATATTTAATGATCTCACCTAACAGGAAATCTAAGAGATGGGCAGTCCTGCATATATGACAGGTTAGACTCTGTCTGATTTCTACTCTGGCATCCTTAATACACACGTTTTTAAGCCTAGTGCTGTCACCTTGTCCTGAGATGACACTTTGCAGCTCCAGGCAGCGCCTGCATCCAGAAAATGCTGAAGAAATGGACTGAGGGCAGCACCAGCCGCTCTGCTCCTGAGTCTGTTCCTGGGACCAGTCAAGCCAGGGCTTTCTCACAAGCACTTGTTCAGATTTCCTCTTAGATTATAGTGGGCAAAATGGGATCACTGACTACTTCAGTACTAGGGGAAACTGGGAGTTAGGGGATCTGGGATTATTTTCAGCTTCTCAAGTGGGGCAATGAAGGGAGAAAAGTATTAGAATTTTGACGTTAGCCTTCCTGCAGCTGTGCTCACTGAGGGGTCAAGCTTCCTGTTCTCTGTTAAACTCTTGGTTGTTTTCTAATAGACATTGAGGCTTTGTCACTTGGCTTACAGTCTTTTTGCCTCCGTTTCAGGCAGTTTCCAGGTGTTCATTCTTTGAGGGGTTTTTTGGAGGGTGTCTCTTCAATGCTGTGTGAGTCCCTTTGTGACGGGGGTTGTGTTTGATATTCCTGTATCCCTGGCATCTCACGCAAAGTGCCTGCCACATACTAATAGTTGGTACCCAGATGCTTGAATGATGGAATACAAAACAGACTAGTATTTCCCTCATGGGGAAAAGACTTCTCTGTTAACCTTAGGTTTAACTAGTATTTATCCCAAAATAAATAGTAAATACTTAAGCAACCGAAAATATTACAGAACTCAGATATTTTACTTCAGGATTACTTCTCCATTCCTTTCTCAGGTCCTGTTTAACGTGTCTCTCTGTCTCTGTGTCTGTCTCTCTGTGTCTGTTACACACATATACACCTTTTTTTTTAATCTTGTAATAGTTTTAATTTTTGATACATGCATATGGTACAGAATTCAAAGGTTGCATAACAGTAAAAAGTCTTCCTTCTACTTCTCTTTGAGTTACCTGTTTCTTCCTCTTGGTGGTACCCACTGTTACTACTGTCTTGAGTTTCCTTCCACACATACTCTAAGCAGTGTTAAGCATATGTAAGTCATCGCACACTGTGGTTAACTTTTTATGTATGTTTCTCATGCTGTGTAAATGGTGACATTCTATACATATTTTTTTATAAGCAGTTGATTATAAGGTTTTTTTTTTTCCACATACTGGCTTCTTATATGTATATTTGGATGATCTTTTCATATCAATTGTATCAGCTGTATCATTAGAGCTTCTTAATTAGCTCATTCATGTAGGTTCCCAGCCCCTGGCACATTAGAAGCAGTGTATCCAGGAGTAATTTGGGCATGGCAAGTAACAAGAGCAGCACCCAAGCCTGCCGAGAGTAAGGCTATGAGCCCAAGGCAGCGGGACAAGTGAGCTCCAAGAGGCTGCCCTTGAGCTGTGACAAGTGACCCTGGCCGCTCCTCCTGCCGGGGAAAAGGTCATGTAGTCCTATTCCTGTGGAAGAATGAAGGTGAGGAGAAGGATGAGAAGTGTCCTTCTTGTCCTGTCTACCCCTGGAAGGGTCATGGATGTCTTTTTTTCTGTGGACTGAGCATAAAGGTGATTAGGGAAGTGCCCCATCTTTATGTTTGTTCACAGATGTAGAAAAAGAGAGTTCCCTGGGCGTAGAGACTGTCTTCCGTTTGAGTCACAGCATCTGTTATTGTGTTTATTTGACATTTAATTAAGCGCATGAAATGAAGGTGAAAAGTAATCATCAACTGGAAACCAAGATTACCTATTTCTGACAAATGCATGGAAAAATCTGTTTTTTTAAGATGATGTTTAAGAAGTTATATCTATTAAGTGAAATCATATATATCTATCTGCATTTTGTAAATATTCCAGATAAGTTTATGTCAGTGTGGACACTGATCTCCACTGGATTGGTGTATTCTTGGTAGAAAAATCATTAATGATGGAGTTGCCTGTTAACCCAAGTGATCACAAAGTCTATACAACCAGTATACATACCTTGTCTTTTGCATTTCTTCTGTGTCTCTGGTTTTAGTTTAATGGAACACATTTAATTAATTGCTGCTTTCTATCAAACCTTTCAGTTCAGTTGCTCAGTCATGTCTGACTCTTTGCGACCCCATGGATCACAGCACGCCAGGCATCTCTGTCCTTCACCAACTCCCAGAACTTGCTCAAACTCATGTCTGTTGAGTCGGTGATGCCATCCAACCATCTCATCCTCTGTCGTCCCCTTCTCCTCCCACCTTCATTCTTTCTCAGCATCAGGGTCTTTTCTAATGAGTCAGTTCTTCACATCAGGTGGCCAAAGTATTGAGTTTCAACTTCATCAGTCTTTCCAATGAATATTCAGGACTGATTTCCTTTAGGATGGACTGGTTTGATCTCCTTGTAGTCCAAGGGACTCTTCAAGAGTCTTCTCCAACACCACAGTTCAGTTTAACCTTTAGGTACCTTTAATATAGCTGTGCTTTTAATAAACATTTTTTAAAAGGAATGTAATGTTTATATTTTGTAGAAAATGGCTCTCTCTACATAGTGATGGATTACTGTGAAGGAGGGGATCTGTTCAAAAGAATAAATGCTCAGAAGGGCATTTTGTTTCAAGAGGACCAGGTGAGTTAGCATATAGGCGATTGAGTCTTAATCCACGAATGTTGTTGAGAAGTCATTCAAAGCTTATTTTTTATGCATGTGTTTCTTTATAACCACAGGTGCTGACTGAGTGTTGGCCACATACTCCAGCACTGCAGTCACATTTTTGCTCTCATGAGATGGTTTATAATTTATGTTGGCAACTTTTCTTGTGACTTGTGGGTTTGGTATCATGTTTTGAGAGTCCTGATTCAGTCAAAGGTATTATAGAAAATCAGCCTATGTTTTCTTCCTCGCTTTATACTTTAATTTTTTGATTTTTAAAAATGCCATCTACTTGGATTTTTTTTTTTTGATGTTAGAAGTGAGGTAGAAATCCAGCCTTTTTACTTTCAAGTGGCCAGCTGCAGAGTGTATATTTTTATGTGATGAATGTAGGGTGAGAAAGAAGTCAGAGGTGTCTTCCAGTAGTCCAGCTTGATTTTTTTCCGTCTTGTGATTTTTACTTCTGTAGAAAAGTAGTATATTTAATAACAAAGAAAAGTCACTCAGCATCATACTATCCTAAAATATAAAGTATTTCCCTTTTTCACTCTTCTCTGAAAATTTCTTTCCATATTAATTCTGATTTATAAAAGATGCCTTAGGAGCAGTTCTTGCATTTAAATGTAGTGTGTGTACTGCATGTAATGTGACTGTTGATCTGAGTATCTACCTAATGTAAATGACATTAATTACAATGAAATTAAAAATTATAGCTTTTTTTTTAAAGGATTTAGATCCTCTCTTTCCCAGATATTCCTGAGTTCTTTTAATGAACAAGGAAAGACTAATGTGAAATATAAATTTTTAAAGAACTGATCTGATTTATCCCCCCCTAGATTTTGGACTGGTTTGTACAGATATGTTTGGCCCTAAAACATGTACATGATAGAAAAATTCTTCATCGAGACATAAAATCACAGGTATGTTTTTTCTGTCACTACTAACTTCTAAGTAGATTTGGACATTGGGTCAGCATTGTCTTGGGCAAAGACTGGACTGTAACAATATTTGTGGGTTTTTTCCGTCTTTTTTACAGAACATATTTTTAACCAGAGATGGAACAATACAACTTGGAGATTTTGGAATTGCTAGAGTTCTTAATAGGTAAATTTTGGTTTGATACAGTGTCTTCAGTGAAGTTTTAATCCATGGTTGTATACTTGTGATAATTTATAATGTCTTTAAGTATCTTAAGTTTCTCCAATAATTCTCCTTTTGTTCTAGTACTGTGGAGCTGGCTCGAACTTGCATAGGAACCCCGTACTACTTGTCTCCTGAAATCTGTGAAAACAAACCTTATAATAATAAAAGGTATTTAAAATGATACTTATTTCATGTTGTATAATATTTTCTTTAAATCTTTCTTTGTTATACAATTATTAACTTTCAGATTATTATTCTAAAATCAGTAATGGACATAGGTCCACATATGGACATATGTATATATACTTTTTTAATATATGATGAGGGGAATTGTAAAGAAGCTATTTTACTCTCTTGCTGAAGGAACTATGGAAAGAATTACTTTCTTATCTAAGTTATAATGGGAAACAGTGCTTTCTTTGTCTTTTCGTAGTAGTTACTTCCTATTGATTACACAGTAATTGATATTTATTGAACACTTGCTATATGACAGAGACTGTTTTAAATGCACTGTATATGTTAACTCTTTTTATCTTCATAGTGGCCTTGTGAGTTGTAGGTATTTGTCATTCCTCCTTTCCTTAGAAGGAAGACAAATGCAGAGAGAGATGAAGTGACTTCATAGTCCCAGGCATCTGACTCCCCAAGTCCAAATTCCTAATCACTGAGTCGTAGTATGGCTAATGGATTGAATAGTGTGTGTGTCAGAAGAGGAATTCTGCCACTGAATTCCAGTTACCTTTTCTTTTCTCTCACACACACTCATTTAAAAATCCCAACTCAGAAACATTGACCTTAGTTTTGAAAGCACCCCACGAGTCTAAAAGGAAGGCTAAAAGGCTGGCAATAATGCATGTATTCAGGATTGCTTTCCACCCTGCCCCCCCTTTTCTTTTGAGGGTAGGGAAACTGTATTTCAGACCTGAGCAGAAGGGATGAGAGCATCATCTGAGCAATGTATTTAAATCAGTTACGATGATCAGTCAAGTCCATGGAGTGTTTTATTAGTGGATATTCTAAAGGAGAGTAGCATTTTCTTTGAGCTAAAGTAATTTTACATGTTAATGCTGTTTCAGTATCTTTTGGGTGATTCAGTTGTGAAAATACTAGTCTTTAAATTTGAAATGGATTTAATCATCCCTTGAAGAATTTTATATAAAATTGATTTTATGAAAAAATGCTTTAAAGCTGTAGTGGATAAACATCATTAATTATACTTAGAAATTCATATTTTCCCAGATGTTTCTTAAATAATTTTATTAATAAGATCATTAATGTTTTTATTTATAGCTTTTAGTTTATAACATGTTCAAGTTACTAAAGGCTTTTTACATTTACTTTTTTATCTTAGTGGAATCTTAAAATTAAACAGATTTTGGGGTTACAGTTTTGACTTTGTAGATTTTTGTGAGAGATTGGGTAGATAACTTTAGGATTTCTTTTTTTTTTTTTAAACTTTAGGATTTCAATAATGGGTTTTTTTCTTTTCCAACACATTCAACTTCCAAGAGCAGTGGTTTTTCCTTTTTTTGACTTGTAGCTCTGAATTGTGAGGGTTTTTTTTTTTTCCTCTTAAAAATAGAAATAGTCTCTTAGTTATAAAAATATGTTTATTTAAGATAAAAGAGCAGAAGAGACTGTGGATAAAGATGATAGTGTAACTAAGTCTTGAAATTAGAAAATAATGTATTTACTCTTTAACATTTCTTAGTTGGTTGTCACAGATTTGTTTCAGATTTACTTTTAGTAAATTAATATTTTCTTCGTTAAAGCAATATTTTACTTTATAATATTTAAGAAATTGTATTTTGCAAATGATTGAATAAAACATTTTGATTTTTTCCAAAATAAGAAAACTGACATATCTGAAATATACTGATTTTGTTTAAATATTGTTTTGTTAATGACACTTAAAGTAATTATTTAGGCAACTTATTTTTGTAATCTGGGATAACTGCTTTCGTCATTTAGTTATGGTTGAAATTTTAAGTTTGAAAGAACACGTTTTATGGAACCCGTGCTTTTGCAAAATATTTCCAAGCTGCTTGTCTTCTTAAAGTGAAAATCTTTTAAAGTAATTTCTGATTCTTGGAGAAGATCTCTCATTTTTCTGTTTTCTAGTGATATTTGGGCTCTGGGGTGTGTCCTATATGAGATGTGCACACTTAAACATGCAGTAAGTAGAAGTTTGTGAAATATTTTACAAATTATGTGAAAAAATACCTATAATATTTGTTTAAAAAAATCATTTGCCATCTTTCAGATGACCCACTTGTACTAGGAATTACTCTTCTCTGTTGGTTTGTGAATTTCTCAGTATTTTCTGAGATGTAAATGTAAATCAGTTTTCTCTTAGCATATATGCATATGTCAAATATGCATGTTATATATATTGTTATCATATATCATACTTCACTCTAGAAAATTATTTCTAAAGACAAATTTGCTATCTTATAAATGTTAAACTTGCATAATGAATTTGATATTTTGGCTTAACAGACTATTAATTTCATTTTAGCAATTTTTCTCAAAACATCCAAATTATTTGATTTTAGAATTGAAATTATCTAAAGAACAGTTTTCAGCATATTTACAGGGAGGTGATTTTACTGATGCAAGTAATGTTTAATTCAGAGTATTTAAAAAATTTCACTTTTTAGGTGGCACATAATTTACCAAAAAGGGGAAGTTCTTGTTCGAAGTAGGTTCAGTTTTAATCACTATCCATATTAAAATCTTGCTTTTTAAAAATGCTTCCTCTAGTAATTAAAGAGTAATATATTTTTATTACAGAAAACTTAAGGGAATAAATAAAACCATAAGGAAGTGGATAAATATCAAAAGTGCTTGCTCTAGTCAGTAATATCTGCTTATAAATTGTTTCTTTCTAGACTTTCTTCTAGAATAATTTATAAAATGAGTTCCATTTTTGTTTTTTTTTCCCCTCATAAGTTTTGTTGTATAAGCACTTTTATAGCCTATCTTTATTGCCTGATGTTAGACTATTTTTTTGCTGTATTTTTTCATGGTTGCATTGTCTTCCATTGTATTACCTTAAGATTTTATTTTTCTTAAAGAAAAGAGCATAGACTGCCAAAGTGATATGACCTGGTGGATATCAGATCTATTTGAAGAAATTGGTCAGTTTTTCTGTGACATACAGTGATTTAGGTCTAAATCTATATATTTTTATTTGTTATTTTTTTTGGCTGCACCCTGCCATTATGGGATCTTAGTTTCTGACCAGGGAATTGAACTTTGGCCCATGGCAGTGAACGCAGAGTCATAACCACTGAACCATCAGGGAATTCCCTAAACCTACCTAGTTTTTAAAAATCTTTTCATTTGCATTGTTCTGTCACCATTGCTTCTGTATTTTGGAGTTACTTACCCTTAAGTGGACACACGAAGCTCAGTAAGTCATTAATCTTTATTTTATGAAGAGCTTATCATTTGAGAGATAAGTGAAATTTCATTGTAGTGAAGGAATAGAGTAATAACCTGTTTGTGCATTTAGGATTCCTTCTTAGGTACATAGACATTTCTAGATGATTGAGTTGTACTCACATCTTAATAAACAATATCATATCTTATGTGCTAGGGGAACTCATCATTTAAGAGAACTCTTTTATTCTTTGTATAATTACCATTGCCTACTTCATACTATGTTTTGTTTTCTTAATTGTATATATTAACAGAAGTTTACAACTGTTCTATGCCATTTTAACTGAGATCTCAAAAACTTAATTTTACTTTCAAAATGAAATCGTCTTTTTAGATTTTAAACTACCCACCTCTTTTTTTTCCCCACTTCAGTTAAGAGTTTATATTGTGTTTGGTCCTAAAATATATGTTTCCATTGATGAGGTTTATATTCCCGTGTGGAATACTTGCCACGTTTGCTGACTCCATATGGCTTTTGGGAGCATCACACATTTAAAAATAATAATAATGAGCAATGTATAAAAGGAAATTAATTAATACCTTTGTTTATTACATTTTCCCCAAAGACTTTTAGTTCTCTAGTTAATTTCCTATTCTAGTTGCTACAGCAGGGGCACAGGAAGGCAGATCTTAAATGAAGACCACCAGGTTTGCTTGTTTTACCATCTTGGTTATTATTATCTTTTATAAACCCTTTACTCTGATTAGTACCTGTATTCCATCTTTCAGTTTTTGAATACGTAAAAGTTAATTTTATAGCAGGTTATACCATTTCATGAGAACTGGTATTTTCTTTTAAATGTGTTTGTAAATAGCCAAGTGAATCTTGCTCTGGAGAGCATGTGCTGATTAAAATATTGGAAAGAGGGTTGCAGTTCTGTTGTTTGTTAAAGGAAAAACTCTATTTCTTATTGTTGATACTCACATTTTCAACTTAGGTTTCATATGTTTCATTTATTTTCTCAATTTTAGTTTGAAGCTGGCAATATGAAAAACCTGGTACTGAAGATAATATCTGGATCTTTTCCACCCGTGTCTTTGCATTATTCTTACGATCTCCGCAGTTTACTCTCTCAGTTATTTAAAAGAAATCCTAGGGATAGACCATCAGTCAACTCCATATTGGAGAAAGGCTTTATAGCCAAACGTATTGAAAAGTTTCTCTCCCCTCAGGTATGTTTTTTTTTAATTTTGTAGTTAAATTGAGCAGTAGGGTTGTGGAGCTTGACTGGGGCGTGGCCTCTTCTGTTTGGAGGAGAGCTCTTTGCATCCCTGGGGGGTGCGTGCCTTTCCCAGCTGTGCTGGAGTCACTTTCCTTTCTGTTTTCCTGCTACTCTTCCCCTTCCTGTTTGCTTTCCAGTTGTGCATTTGCATTCCTTTTCTGTTTCCTCTTAACACTTCCTGCTTAACTTCTAACACCTCTCGTCACCGTGTGTATAGCAGTTTTTATACATCAGGCAGAATTCAGTTCAGTCCTGACCCTGTGTACCCGGAGGTGGCATCAGATCTTACAGTTCAAGGGCTCAGTCTCTCCCACAGGACCACCCCCACTTCAGAAGCCATTTGTAAGTGGCAGGTTGTCTGTCACCTGTGCTTCTGTCCATCTGGTTTATGTGTCAGGTTCCCACGACCCCTGCCTCTGGTTCCACTGATGTGTTTGCTGGAGCAGCTCACAGGACTCAGAGAAATTTACTTCCATTCACCAGTTTATTATAAAGCATGTAGGTGAACAGCCAGGAAAAAAGGTACCTAATGGTGAGGTCCAGAGGCATCCTAAGTGCAGGAACTGGGGTTCCCCCCTTGAATGTTTGCCAATTCAGAAGCTCTCTGAACCTTTTCCCTGTTTTTTTATGGAGTCTTCATTAGTAGGCATGATCAGTAAATCTTTGGTCCTTAGTTATTGGTTCCAGCCCCTTTCCTCTCCTGGTTAGGGGAAGGCAGTGGGATTGGAATTTTTAACCCTCTAATCTGGGAGTTGTTTTCCCTGGCAACCAGTTTTCATCCTTAGGTGCTTTCCAAATGTCACCTCATTAACAAATTTTGGTGTGTCTCAAATGGGCTTGTTTTGAACAACAAAAGGCACCTTTTTGTGCTTCCCACTGAGGAAATTTCAAGGATTTTAGGAGCTGTGTGCCAGGAACTGAGTGCTGACCAAGTATGTATTTCTTAATATAAGTCAAAATATCAAGAGTTATTCCTCTGTCTCTTCAGTTTCTGTTGTTTTGTTTTCCAGTTTTTTTATTCTGGTAAGATAGATACAAGATAAAATTTATTAATGTCACCAGTTTTGAGTGTACAGTTAAATGCATTCATAGTGCTGTGCACCCATCATCTCATCCATTTCCAGGTCTCTCTTCCTCTTGGAAAACTGAGTCTATACCCATTAATCAGTAGCTCCCCTTCCCCTCGCCCTGGCCCTGGTATCCATCTTTCTATATTCTCCGACTTGGGTTTCTAACAGTAAGACTATTCAAAATTTGTCTGCCTCCCTTTCCTCACCTGTGAACAATGGGATTATAAATGTATCTAATTAATAATGTCTTGAAGTGGTTACCAGAGTCAAAAATCATAATGCTTGTGAAGTGCTTAGTGTCTAATACTTATTAAGTACTCAATATACTCAATATATGTTAAGTATTATCAATATAACTTTACTGTGTTACTATATTATCTTTATAATTGCTCTTTCTCTAGTAGAAGATTGCAAACCACTGTGTGTGGGCATGTATATGTATATATAATAGATTGCTGACTCATGATTCCTCCTCTACTACTTGCATACAGGTGCTTAATAAATACTCATTGAGTTGAATTTTATTGAACACGATTTATCAAAAATCTATCCCAAGTCAATTAGTATATAAGTATGGTCACCTGAAAGTGGAATTATTTTACATAATTTGTGTGACCTTTGTTGATTTAAATGATCACTATTAAGCTCTTCTATGAATCAGATATCTAGCAAAATCATAGTTTTATTACTTTAAATGTTCATGAGAGGGAAGTGTCTTATTTCTTCTGACTTTTTACAGAATATCCATATGAGCAAATAATCTTCAGGAAACAGAGATGTGGATTTAACTGTTACTACCAAGAGAATACGTTAGTAAGCAAGAAAGCCAGTTAAAATTTGGCAGTTAAAGGCCACTAATATAGGACATAGCTACAGTCTCTGAAGTGTGGGTGTTTTACAAGACTCCTTTGTTACAAATAGCTTTTTCAAGCGCAGATTTATGTTGCAGTGTGCTGTTGTTTTTGACAGCTACTGGAGAAGAAAGAATGACTTCAGTCAATCTCTCTGAGTTTTTTTTCTTCCATACCAACAGTTAGGACAGACACATAGTCTCAAGGCTGAAGCACTGGAATTCAGCTCAGTTCAGTTCAGTCACTCAGTCGTGTCTGACTCTTTGCGACCCCATGGACTGCAGCACGCCAGGCCTCCCTGTCCATCACCAACTCCTGGAGTTTACTCAAATTTATGTCCATTGAGTCGGTGATGCCATTCAACTATCTCATCCTCTGTTGTCCCCTTCTCCTCCTGCCTTGTCTTTCACAGCATCAGGGTCCTTTCCAATGAGTCAGGAATTCAGCTAGCCAGCAACAAAAGAAAATACTCAAGCCTGATATACACAGAGTATGTAACATGGAAAGAAAAGAGGGCAGATGATGGCTACTAGTAACAAGAGTATTTGACAGACATGCTTAGTAAATACATGGTATCTCGTTGTGTAACTACCACTTAGATTTCACTCTTCACCAAAAATGTTCTTTTCTTCTTATGATTTTTCTGCTATATATCTGCATTTGATTAATTCTAGAAGAAAGCTTGTCCACAGAAATGATAAATAAGTTGGTAAGATTGGGAAGAAATTAACATAGAAATTTGATGAATGGACAATTTAGGTTTTAGTACAGTTTATTTGGCAACATAATTGTGACTGAAAAAGAAAAAAAATTATTTTGATTAATGGCTAGGTTTTTTTTTTTAATTTGAAAATTTCACATCTTTTCTAACTTTCCCCCCACCTCTTTCAATTTAAGCTTATTGCGGAAGAATTTTGTCTAAAAACATTTTCCAAGTTTGGAGCACAACCTCTACCAGGTAAGTGGAGTTTAACATGAATCCTTTCCTGTGTTTGTGATAATCAGTATACTAATTATATTGGAGATATTTGTAGATACAAGAAGTTGAGGTAGTTGTATGATAAATCTAATCCAGAGGAAATGAATCTAAAATTTTTTTATGATATGTGATGAGTTAATAACAAAGTTTCCATTTATTATCTGCCTTCATTTAAATGAATTCTATTTTGAAAACTTCTTTCTTACTCAAGTGTTCAGCTCATATTCTGAGAATATTGTTATGAAATGTTATAAAATGCCTGAAGTGCAAATCCTTTTCATTTTCTTTTTTTTTGGCAAATTTTTTTTTTTAATTTATTTTTTTATTTTTTATTGTACTGGATCTTTACTGGCTTTTGTTGCAGCGGTAGTTGTGGAGCGTGGGCTTAGTTGCCCCAAGGCATGTGGAATTTTCCTTGACCACAGGTAAAACCCATGTCCTCTGCATTGACAGGCAGATTCTTATCTTCTATAACATCAGGGAAGCTCCAGTGCAAATCTTGATGTAAAATAATTTTCTTTAAGAAATATTTTTTATTGTAAAGTACTTTAAAAGTAAATTGGTGTGAAGTCAGACACCTTAGCAAGGATAGTTATTCTTTAAATATGGGCCAGCAGCAGTGGAGTATTTGTTGGATTGTCAGTGTGGTTATATATATATATATTGTGAGAGGGAAATCATTTTTTCCCCATGGAGTGATTTCAGATGGATTTCTGAAATCCGTGGAAGTTATTAAGACTTGAAGATTGTTGTTTTTTAAGCATAATGCTTTGCATGTCTTACTCCATTGTGAGTATAAATAAATTAATAAAAATGAATCCCATATCATAAAACTTGAGTCCCTAACAGCTGGACAGGGTGTGGCAATGTGTTCTTGGGAAGGCCAGTTGTGTCAGCTCTTAAACACCCTGGGGCTCATCCTCTGAGCCGACAGAAGCTGGCCATCCTGGCGATCAGCCCAGTGGGAACCATGTTCATGAGACAGACATAAGGCAGGGTCAGCAGGTCCCTCCTGGCACTCTTGCCTCAAGAGAAGTCACATCTTCATCAAAGCCTCCTTGTCACACAGACAGGAATCCCTGGGTCAGCACGGTCTTCCCAGTGGATGAGCCTCCCAGGCAGTGGAGTGGGGTTCCCTAGTGGGAGGAGCTGGATGGAGGTGTGTGTGACACAAGGAGTTGTCTTGCTCCTGGCCTTGAGCCCCTCATGGGCTCCCGTCCTGGCAGGAAGCGTCCTCCTCCTGGGAGGCGCACCTCTGAATTGGGGAACACTCAGAAGCCAGATGAGAGCTGAGTAGCCCTCCTTCTTCTCTGGGGTGCAGGGTACTGTTCCTGTGGTCTCCTGGGACCCCTCCTGTTTGTGCTTTGGTGCCTCTTTCCCCTTTTCTGGCACACATGTGGTTATGTTAATATATGCAGCCAAGTTCCAGTGGTATGACTCTCTGTTTTCGAAAAGAAGCTTACAGTTCTCAGAGGGAAAATTTTTTTCCTCACATTTCCTAATTCCTGTCACAATACAGTTGAAGTATGTATTTAGGAAAACTTACTGTAATATACTGTATCAGTTTCTCAGATTTTCTACACACTTCAATTGTGAATATAAACTGCCAGTCAAATGGCTAATGTTGCTTTTATTTTTATGAGCATTCACTAAATTGTGTGAGTAATATGTCATTATAAAAATCAAAAAGAAGAAAATAAAAATTACCCTACTCTTAATACAGACTTTTATTTGGTATATATATTTCAATGATAACAGATGCATAATGATTGGAAATTGGGGTTGTGTTATAAAGATTTTTTTTATTTCACAATATTATATCTTGATCATTTTCTAATGCAGTTAAATATTCTTTAAAGAACAGAGTTTAGTGGTAGTGTTTCCTTGTAAACGCCTAGTTAAGTTTTTTCTCCATTCCCCTGCTATAGAAGAAGCGCACTGGTTGGCAGAGATGGATCACGGGGTTCTGGGACAGGGTGTAGCCCTGGGGTGGAGGGCAGACGGCGTGGGAGTAGGGCTGAGCAGGGAGAGCAAGTCGGGGCGGAAAGGACCCCTAGGAGGCCTCGTGCAGCCGGGGCTCTGACCCCCCTTGGTCTCAGGAATGTGAAGTCTGGACTTCCATTTTCAGTACTTTAGTCTGAACAGTTTATCTTCAGCTTGTCATTGTTTTAAGACTGAACCCTGTCTAGGCTTCAGTAAAAGTTTGATATTGATATATAATGCTGAATGTGTATATATTTTTGTGGTTCTCTGATTAGTTTTTTGACATCAATTAATAAACATTGTTCTTTTTTAAATTTATTTTTAATTGAAGGATAATCGCTTTACAGAATTTTGTTGTTTTCTCTCAAACCTCAACATGAATCAGCCATAGGTATACATATACCCCCTCCCTCTTGAATCTCCCTCCCACATCCCTCCCCATCCCATCCCTCTAGATTGATACAGACCCCTGTAAACATTGTTCTTGATATACGTTGGTCTCTGAACATTTTGACCAGTTTCTACTCCTACCAGCAGTGCATAAACTTACTCATTTCCTGGGACCCTCAGTTATAGTGATTCTTTTTAAAGTTCCTCTTTTTCAGCGGGTCTGTAGATGTAGGCATTACTCAGACTGTATAAGAAGCAAATATTAATTCTCATAGTGATGGAATTATTGTTTAACAGTTGCTCTTGAAGTTTATGTTCTGATTTTGAGAGTAATTTCTAAGATATGGAATGTTCTTTATAAAATTTATTTTTAACGTCTTTATTGAAATATTGAAATGTAACCCGCTTAAAATTCACTTCATCCATTTAAAGTCAACGATTCAGTGTGCTTTAGTATATTCACAGACATGTATAATCATCATCCACCATCAGTTTTAGGGGTGTGCTTTTTCTATATGAGAAATTTCAGCATTTTAGAGGAGTGTCGCTTCTTGCTTCTTTCAGAAAGTGGCTTTAGTGTAAAATAGTCATGATGAAGACATTGACACATGGCAAGGAGTGAAGGAGATGTTTAGTGAAGAGTCTCAAACTGAACACTGTCAGTGATTGTGAACATGAAAAGGTTCTGTATTGAAGAATTTTGAAATTAAAGATTGAACACTAAGAACTCTGAAAATAATTCTTTGTATTATTTTCTCATGTAGCTAAAAGACCAACTTCAGGACAAAGCTTGGCTTCTATTATGTCTGCTCAGAAAATTACAAAGCCTGCTGCTAAATATGGAATACCTTTGACAAATAAGAAATATGTAGATAAAAAATTGCATGAAAGGAAACCACTCCAGAAATATAAACAGGTATGATGTGCTGATGATGTTACAAACTGTGTATTTGACCTTATTTTATTGCAGCTCAGTTCAGTTAATCTTGATTTCTGTAGGATTGTTTTTGTTAAGTTATTAAAGAGCATTGCTGTTCTCTGCTTCACCAGTCTTCTAAAACTTAGGAGACTTACAGAAGTCATGAAGAGACATTAAGCAAATACATTAAGTAAAGTAGTTGGTGCAGTAAAAAGAAAGTAACATTATAAGTGAAATCATTGTTGAATAACCTAAGTGGAACCATTTGTTTTTTGCATAAAATAAATGAACATCTGAGATAAACATCATAAAAATCTGGGGAAAATTTGAATTTAAGGATTCATGATGAGATAATTAAATATGTGGAGGGATATGACCTTATGGTCTGTCATGTCTCAAAAGAAAATTAAGGCCTGTAGCATTTAGGTGCTGTGCCTAAAAACATAAATTAGTTGCAAGAATTTGTCATTTTTCTTCATGTCTGTAGCCACTGTATTCTCTGGAATGTAGCACCTGTTGGTTTTGTTCTGCGTCTGCACGTGCATCTACACAAATGCGCAGAAAAAGGTTTAAGTACACAGGTGTGCATAGTGCTGTAAGACAAACCTCACAGTAGGGGGTTCTTTGTCTTTGGCATGCCTGATGTGTGCACTGTCCAGCTATAAGGTCTTGAACCAGGCAGTGAAGGGTAAATTTCCAGCTGAAGGGCACTGTGACAGCTGGCACTCTGGGTTTGTGGATTTTACTTTTTTTTGTTGTTATGTTTGTTGTTTTTGTTCAGTCGCAGAGTTGTGTCCAACTCTTGTGATCCCATGTACTGCCACACGCCAGGCTTCCCTGTCCCTTCCCATATCTCGGAGTTTGCCCAAGTTCATGCCCATTGAATCAGTGATGCCATCCAGCCTCATCCTCTGTCACCCCCTTTTGCTCCTGCCCAGCATCAGGGTCTTTTCTAATGAGTCGTCTTTTCACATCAGGTGGCCAGAGTATTGGATCTTCAGCTTCAGCATCAGTCCTTCCAATGAATATTCAGGGTTGATTTCCTTTAGGATTGACTAGTTTGATCTCCTTGCAGTCCAAGGGACTCTCAAGAGTCTTCTCCACCACCACAGTTCGAAGGCATCAATTTTTCAGCACTCAGCCTTCTTTATGATCCATCTCTCACATCTGTACATGACTGCTGGAAAGACCATAGCTTTGACTATACAGACCTTTGTTGGCAAGGTGATGTCTTTGCTTTTTAATACACTGTCTAGGTTTGTCATAGCTTTCCTGCCAAAAAGCAATTGTCTTCTGATTTCATGGCTGCATTCACCATCTGCAGCAATCTTAGAGCCCAAGAAGAGGAAATCTGTCACTGCTTCCATGTTTTTCCCTTCTGTTTGCCATGAAGTGATGGAACTGGATGCCATGATCTTAGTTTTCTTAATATTGAGTTCTAAGCCAGCTTTTTCACTCTCCTCTTTTATCGTCATCAGGAGACCTTTTTAGTACCTCTTCGCTTTCTGCCATTAAAGTGGTATCATCTGCATATCTGAGGTTGTTGATATTTCTCCTGGCAATCTTGATTATAGCTTGTAACTCATCCATCCCAGCATTTCACATGATGTTCTCTGTATAAGTTAAATAAACAGGGTGACAATAAACAGCCTTGTCATACTCCTTTATCAATTTTGAACCAGTCAGTTGTTCCGTATAAGGTTCTATCAATTGCTTCTTGACCCGCAAACAGGTTTCTCAGGAGACAGGTAAGATGGTGTGGTATTCCCATCTCCTTAAGAGTTTCCACAGTTTCTTATGATCCACACAATCATAGTCAGTGAAACAGAAGTAGATATTTTTCTGGAATTCTCTTGCTTTCTCTATGATACAGTGAATGTTGACAATTTGATCTCTGATTCTTCTGCCTTTGCTAAACCTAATTTGAACAACTGGACGTGCTCGGTTCACATAATGCTGAAGTCTAGCTTGAAGGATTTTGGGCATAACCTTACTAATATGGGAGATGAGTGCAATTATCTGATAGTTTGAACATCCTTTAGTAGTGCCCTTGTTGGGAATTGGGATGAAGATTGAACTTTCCAGTCCTGTGACCACTTCTCGGTTTTCCAAAATTGCTGACATATTGAGTGTAACACTTTAATAGCATCATCTTTTAGGATTTTAAATAGCCTGCTGCAGTTCTATCACCTCCACTTGCTTTATTGGCAGGAGTGCTTCCTAAGGCCCTCTTAACTTCATACTCCAGAATGTCTGGCTCTGGGTGAGTGACCAAACCATCGTGGTTATCAGGGTCATTAAGGTCTTTTTTAAACGGTTCTTTTGTGTATTCTTTCCATCTCTTCTTGATCTCTGTTGCTTCTATTAGATCTTTACCATTTCTTTCCTTTATTGTGCCCGTCTTTGGATGAAATGTACCTTTGATATCTCCAATGTTCTTGAAGAGATCTCAAGTCTTTCCCTGTTTTCTCCTCTGTTTTCTTTGCACTGTTCGTTGAAAAAGGCCTTTTTGTCTCTCCTTGCTATTCTCTGAAAGTCTGCATTTAGTGTTGATATACCTTTCCCTTTCTCCTTTGCTTTTTGCTGCTCTTCTTTCCTCAGCTATTTGTAAAGCCTCCTCAGACAACCACTTTACCTTCTCGCATTTCTTTTTCTTTGGGATGGTTTTGTTTGTTGCCTCCTGTACACTGTTACGAACCTCTGTCCATAGTTCTTTAGGCACTCTGTTTACTAGATCTAATCCCTCGAATCTATTTGTCACTTCCACTGTGTATTCACAGGATTTGATTTAAGTTGTACCTGACTGGCCTCAGGGATTTCCATGCTTTCTTTAGTTAAGCCTGAATTGTGCTATAAGGAGCTGATGATTTAAGCCACAGTCACCTCCAGGTCTTGTTTTTGCTGACTGTATACAGCTTCTCCGTCTTCTGCCACAAAGAATATAATCAATCTGATTTCAGTATTGACCATTTGCTGATGTTCATGTGTAAAGTCGTCTCTTGTGTTGTTGAAAAAGGGTGTTTGCTATGACCAGTGAGTTCCCATGGCAGAATTCTACTAGCCTTTGCTATGCTTCATTTTATACTATAAGACCAAACTTACCTGTTACTCCAGTTATTTCTTGACTTCCTACTTTCACATTCTAGTCCCCTATGATAAATAGAGCTTCTTTTTTTTGGTGTTAGTTCTAGGAGGTCTTGATAGAACTGATTAGCTTCAGCTTCTTTGGCATCAGTGGTTGGGGCATAGATGTGGATTACTGTGATACTGAATGGTTTGCCTTGGAAGCAAACTGAGATCATTCTGTTTTTGAGATTGCACCCAAGTACTACATTTGGAACTCTTGTTGACTATGAGGGCTACTCCATTTCTTCTGTTGGATTCTTGCCCACAGTGGTAGATATCATGATCATCTGAATTCAGTTCATCCTTTCCTGTCCATTTTTGTTCACTGATTCCAAGATGTCAGTGTTTACACTTGCCATCTCCTGCTTGACCACATCCGATTTACCTTGATTCATTGACCTAACATCCCAGGTTTCTATGCAATACTGTTCTTTACAGCATCAGATTTTACTTTTCATCCCCAGACATATCCATAGCGAGGTGTAATTTCCTCTTTGGCCCAGCCACTTCATTCTTTCTGTTAATAGGTAATCATACTATTAGTAGTTACATAATCAGGCCTAAATGGATGAGTTCCATTATATCCTTCCGCCTTCTTTTCTTTAGTTACTACAAGGCACCCAGGACTCCTGGCATCCCCTCATTACATAGTTTCTCAGCTCCCTGAGGCTATGGTCCTACCGTGCTCCAGCCCCTGCCTCTGCAGAGCACCCGAACTATTCCACAGAGCCCTCAGCTAGTCCATGGTCAGCAAGATCCCCTGCATTCTCAACTTGTCAGAATCTCTGCACCTTTTTTACTCTAAAACCTGGCTTGTCACACACACTGTTGTGCGGCTCTCTCGGGGACTGTTTTCTCTCTAGTCCCTCAGTCCTGCTGGGTCTGGAGGAGGACGATGGCGTTGTGTTCCTTGATGTCATTGCTGGACTCGCCCTGGCTTCTCCAGCACTGCCACCAGACTTTGTGTCACTTGCTGCTCCTCACTCTTCACGGCGATGTCATGGTTCTTGGTGACTGCAGTGTCTTGAGACGATGGTCCTTTTGGTGGTGCACTGCCTTTTTGTTTTCTGATTGTTCTCTTTGATGATCTTGTCTCCTGCCTCACTTTGGATCTCTCCCCTGTGGCATGTCATCACATTTGTCATCAGGAAGAACACCTGCTTCCTAGTCTCAATTACAAGGACCCCACTCTGACCACTGATTCCTGTGTTTCCAGCTTAGTCTCTGAGAACCTGCCTTGAAAATGTCTTTGTTCTGTTTGGATCCATGGATCTTACCTGGTTTTATCATTGTCCATCCCATCTTTGTTTTTATTTTCCTTTTCCATCTCTAATTTCATGTTCTCTCATTGTAATAGTTTCCAAAGGGTTTGACTGCCCCGCCCAGTGGATGTGGTTGGAGGAAGCCTGCAGCTCTTCAACTGGTCTCACTTCAAAGTTTAAACCTACAGTGTCAGGTGCGCACTGTCGCCCCACCTCATCAGGTTTCCGCAGGCCAGTTCCTCTCCTACTTTCAATCGTGATCGCCTACCTTTTCCTTGTTTATCCCCTCAGGGTGATGAATGTTGCTTCCTATTTCACTGAGAAAAAAGAACCAAGTAGAGGAAAATTGCCCACACTCAGCAGCACTCCTGCCTGTCAGTCCTACCTGTTGCCAGTCTCCTGCTTTCTTCTTTATACTTGGAGGATCTGTCTGTTTTGATCTAGAGTTGACCTTGTCGTTTGTATGCCATCTCTTACTATTATTTTTGCCTTTTAAAGGACTTCACTCTCTCTCCTGTATCATATTTTTCCTCTGTCCTAATCATTCCTGTTAGCAAATAAATGGGCTTTCTTGGTGGCTCAGATGGTAAAGAATCTGCCTGCAATGCA